CTGATATTACCAATAAGAAGATTGAGGCCGGGGTCCTCACAGTCTGCCCGGAGTAACCGAACTGAACTTGCTGAGAACCGGGCTCAGCGTCCCTCATATGGTGATGACAATGATGATGATGATGATAATGATACTATTGATGATGATGCTAATGATAATGAAGATTAGTGTATATGAAAAAAAAAAAAGGAGACCGCTATATCAGCAAATCTGACCTCCTTATCCTAGAACACCTCCTAGCCCTCCTTGTACCAGGACATTGCAACTCAGAGACAGTACCAACCTAACCAAAGTCTACCATGGCTGTTCTCTTCTCGCTCCCTTGCAGCCCCCCCTAGTTCGCCACTGGATTGCCTTCCTCCCTCGGCAAACCCCAGATCTCTCTACAAGGCCTCACACTCCTGCCATTTGCAGGTTACAGGGCAACGCCCCAGCTCCGGCCAGCGTCGTTCTGGCGTCGGCAAACCAGGGGCACAGAACAGAGCAACTCTGTAGACACCAATCCAGGTTCAACCATCTCTGAAATCCTATATCCCGAATGTGGAAAAAGTCTAGATGCTGCCAAAAATTTCAAGAACACCAGAAAGCTTAATATGACATGATCGAGATGATGATACAAATGATGATGATGATGATGATGATGATTATGATGATGATGATTATGATGATTAGTATGTAAAAAAATAGAAGACTATGCTATATCAGCACTTCTGACCTCCTAATCCTAGAACACCTCCTAGCCCTCCCTGTACCAAGACGTTACATCTCAGAGACAATACCCTCCTTACCAATGTCAACCGTAGCTGACCTGTTCTCGCCACCTAGACTATCCCTGACCCCATAGGTTGTCAAGGCAGCCCCACCGGTTCGCCACTCCATTGCCTTCCTCCCTCAGCAAATCCCTAGATCTCTCTACAAGGCCTCACACTTCTGCCAATTGCAGATTACAGGGCAACGCCCCAGCTCTGGCCAGCGTCGTTCTGGCATCGGCAAGCGAGGGGCACAGAACAAGACAACTCTGTAGATATTGGCCCAGATTCGACCATCTCTGACATCCTATACCCCGAATGAGGAAGGAAGCCAGATGCCGCCAAGAATTACAGAGCACCAGAAAGCATGATATGACATGGATGATGATAACGATGATGACGATTTTGATGATGATTATAATGAGAAGATTATAAAAAAAAAAAAAAAAAAAAACCTTCTCCCTTCCATTCCTCCATTCCCTTCATTCCCCTATCTATCCCTTTACCCTAGTTTGCCCCTGCTGGGATTTAATGCCCAGCCCCAGAATAGAGTATTCCTCACAATCTGCCCGTGCTCCCTCCAGGGTTTCACCCTCCTCCTAATGAAACTGGCCATCGCGGTTTCTTTCAAGTGCCAGGTGGAGTGAACCACAATCTTGTAGCCCGACAGCGTGCCCACGTCACACGTGTAACGATGATTGAGTGACCTCGTCGGCTCCATAGTTGTGTTGAAGTGGCGCATAGGCGACGTGAAGGGGTGGAGACGCAAGGACGCGAGGCGGGAGAAGGTAAGGCACGGGAGAGTTCGACGATGAGGGAAGGGTAGGATATGGTGTCGTGGGGAGTCCGGCTGGGGCCTGCTGTCCTTGTCTTGTGTCCGTAGAACCCGTCCCCCTTCCTCAACAGTATGGGAAAGGTAGAGTTAGGGTAGCTTGAACCCCCTGTGGCGACTCATTAACAGGTTTGGCGAGGGGTGTCACACCGTTTTTGTTTCCTTTGAGGGATTGAAGATGGTCGTTCATATCTTTGGTGTTAGCTTTGCTTCGAGCTCAGATGCTAGCAGTGGAAGGAAGGTAGTCCTGTTTTCCCCAAAGATGCAGGGGTAGGGTTTGAGAGGTGGGAGGTAAGTGCTTGAGTTGAGGAAGAAGGGACGGGAATTGACATTAGTGGATTAGGATTCTGGCCACGCGTCGCCTGGCTTTCTTACAACTCGAAATCTACAGATCATTTTCGGATAGTAATTGTTAATTTTGAATCTTCTGATTGCGATCCGTAATTTCCCGACACTTTGATCGTAAATTTTCTGATTGTTTTCTGATTGTTTCCTCTGATTCTACCTTCAAAATATTTTTCATCCCAAGAATTCACTTGTTAAATTGAATTCGTAAAATCAGACTCTGCTTCTAATAGGTTTGAATGGTTGTATCAAACATGAAATCAAACATAGATCCTCGATTCACGCGTGCAGTCTCCTAATCCTTGAGGTATTCTTGCTGTCCTTAACAACGACCTTAACTACGATCAGGATTATTCTCTTGATTTTTTATATTCGTGAGTCCAATTTTGGACACCTCAGATAAATTTCATTAATCTCGTTTTTAAATCTTAAATCTTAAAACTTTTAAGAGATGTTCCAGATAAGAGTTCCTAATTTTCCTATTGACAAACCCTATGTCCGCAAACCTAATTTTCCAAAGTCTTGACTACTGCTGTGGTAAACTTCGATCCTGTTTGTTTTCTTTGATGATTGTATCTTGATCTCTCCTTTCTCGGTTTTTGTATAGCTGGGGGAGTTGAGGATGGTGCATCGGCTTAGGGTGGACCAGATCTGCTATGTAGTTGGATGATTGGTTTTGGCTGGTAGGTCAGGAGGATTCTGCTGGGACGACTCAGGCCGGTGCTGGAGTTGAGGCTCTGTAACCTGGGGAGTTATGTCTGTTTTGTGTGGCATAACCAGTGGGTTCGACGAAGTCATTGTCGGGGGGGTTCCCCTGTAACTATGGGGCTTTATGACTTTTGAGGAGTAGTCGAGGGTGGAAGACACTTCTTTCCATGAGAACAAGGTGGATCGGTTCTGGGGTAGCGGTGGCGCCCTGTCACCCTAGCACGAGGGGGTTTGAGATCTGCCGCGTTTTTGCACGAGGACTGACGGCCTCCACCTTTCCTTCTTTCGCTTAGCAGGTCCTAGTCTTCCCTGATCGTTTGCCCTCGTATCCCTTTTCTTTTGCTTTCTAAATATTTTCTGAATACGGTCATAGGCAGTTGCATAATTTTTAGAATTTCTTAGAACTTTTGAAAAACGTCAATCTGTTCTTAAAAAAGGGGGGTGGGCCGTACGTGGATGGTTGTCTTGTCCTAAAAATGTCTTCTGGATTCTGGGGATTCCTGACAAACTCTTTTTT